CCATGTTTCTTTTTTCATGAGTGGGGCGGCGGGACCACAAGTGACCACAGTAAGCCGTGACTCAGGAGAATTAAGTGGGCTCACCCCTCAGTGAGTGGTCTTTCGTTAACAAAACCTCAGAGCCAGCTCACAGGGGTTTCCTGTACACTCATACTTTCCAAAGAGGTTCTGTTTTACAAAAGCGCTGGCCACCAAAGCTACTCACTCTCCACACCAAGTATCCAGGCTTTTGACCACGATCGATTCAGACGCCTTATGGTATGCTACTGTAGAGCTGCCCAATTATGGCAACAACAAAAAAATACTCGTCACAATTATTTTGCTCCATATTGGGATCACAGTTACTGCGATTTTGCTCCTTACTGGACTTCTCGTCCTGTCTCAAGCTAAATTAAACCTACCACAGCCAGTAGGGGAGATAGTTTGAGGGGGTGTTTAGAGAAAGATGAAACCGCTGCAAAAAAAAAAAAAAAAATGCAGAAAATAATTTTTATCATTTCATAAATGCCGGAAGCCATAACTGTAATCCATCCGTCCATTTCCTTAACCACTTATCCGAGTGAGAGTTGCAGACGGAGGCTGGAGCCCGTCCCAGCTGACCAACTCTCAGCTAGTTTCCTTCGAACATGTATCTCAGTGTAGTTACAATGTGTGCTTTTGACGGCTACAATCCTCTGGGAAATTGGAAAAATCTCTCACAACGGCAACTTTCTGTGGCTCGTTTTGTTCTCCATCGCAGACACATTTGTTTCGCCTCTGTCCTCTCTGGCCGTTTCCACTCTGTCAAGTGCTGTAATGCGGTCTTGCCATTACTGTTTAGGGAGAATTTACTGCTGCTTGTTTTGACGCAGTGCATCCCCGCTCTGCAGCACAAGTAGCAGAATTGTCAGGTAAAAATGAGACTGTAGAGAGGCAAAATTGAAATTGATTAATTGTGCAGCCTTTCATTAAGGTATATTTTGAGGGAGGGAATGGTGACAAAGTAAAGCAGCGATTAGATGCAAACGACTCGTCATTACACCAGCAAGCCTTTGCGTGTGCCAGAGGTTGACAGGCAAGTGTGAGCTTAATCGTCACCATCTCATTACTTCTTTACTACTTGACAGGGCAGTGCCTGATCACCTCTTTACCTGCGAGACTAAAGTTTCCTCTTATCTAAATGACTGAATAAATCATTAATCTTTAATGATCTTCAGGGCTAATTGGGTCAAGACAACAACTGAAACTAGAATATGGGTAAAAAGTAGAACAAATTAAAAGAAAACCATGGCTTGCTGAACTGTGATAAACACTTTTTTTTAAAAATTGTGTGTTTGCAGAAAGCATTAGCCACACTTGTGCTGCTGGATCTTCCAAACACCTCAAAACTTCTACAAAGGTTTCAATGAGTCTAAACACTTATCAAAGAAGCAAGACGACATTTCAACTACCAGCAAAACTTGCCACGCACGTCTGTAAATGTTTACTGAAAGGGAGCAGGCAAGGAAAGCACAATGACCGACCAAGAGTTTGGCAGTTTCCCAGCAAACACCAGCAAGCACTGGACTAAAAAAGACTTTGTAATCAGAGGGTTTAGAGAGCAAAGAGAGGAGGAGGGCAGAAAAGCAGGGAATGATAGAGTGAGCCTATGAATTACTCAGCAGACACGTCTTTCTCCCTCTTTCCTCCCTGCAGGAGATAATGGGGATCATTCGTCTTCTTGCCCTCCTTTAAGCCCCATCTCTTGGCCACTGATCTGCATCCAGGTCAGCGGAGAAACAACACAGGTCCGTTTTAATGATGTGTAGAATTTGGTGGGAGGAGAAGCAGCACTTTTGAAAAAGCTACGTGTCTCACGAAGCCAGCCTACATAAAGACTGAAGGCCAAAAACAAAACACAGTTTCTCAATCAGCTTCGTACTGCAAGCTGGATGAAAGTTGGAAAGTCTGATGACACCACGCTTATCTCTGTAGAGCCGTTTTCACACACGCAACGAAGCCTGAACTTATCAGAGAACACATTAGCTGAACTCTCGCTGCTACGAATTCTGTAATAGGCAAAAGAGCCCACATTAGAAAGGAGGGGGTACGCGTTCTGTTATATAGACAGCAAGCGTGAGGGCGCCGTGTATGGTGCCTCCCCTGCACTCTAACTGGGAAGCTCCCTCAAAAACACGTCAAGATCAGACTATTTCCTGCTGTTGCCACACTTGGGATAGAACAACTGTGGAAAATATCCAGATGTGACTCCCGTGTATCTGTCTGAGGTCTACATGTGAGAAAGAGCAGAAATAGCGGCAACCAGTATGGATCTGGCTTTAAAGCACTAACATCTGGCTACCAGTAGCTATATTGCTGGAGATGCTTTTAGCTTTGAATGTCACTGGTTTAGTCATGAATTTCATGGAGGAATGCCAAGAATCGCACTTTTACTGACTTTAAACCACTTTCACATTTTATTTAGAGTTTAAGTAAGTCAGTGTGCTCACTTATCCTGCTCCAGCGGAGAAGCCTCAGGTCTGCACTGCAGAGCATTTTCCAATTATTAAAATATATGGGCCTTTTGAATAAGGAAACATCACTGAAGTACGCGAAGTATTTTCGCAATATTAAAGGGACAGAGAAAGAGTTACTTAGGCGACATTTTCCATGAAAAACAAAATCGGCTGAGGACACCAGCAGAGTGAAATCAAGCATTTCTGAACACATAGTCACTGTGATCCAAATACAAGATTTGAAAATACGAGAATCAATGCATCTCTGGAGAAAACAGTTTTTATTATAAGCCCAATCAGAGTGCACAGATTGTTTATTTCACACATCAGCAGGCCTAAGCTGCTGACACTGGAATATCATCTTATGCTATCCCAACAGCTAGCTGCAGACAAACTGCTTAAGAAAACATACATGACGCATCTATTCAGCTTCATGAATTATACAATGCTAGTGCTCCCTCTCCCTCACAAGGACACACACAACTGTTGGCACTCTCGTGCATGGTAAAAAACAAAACAAAACAAAACATCAAGATGCGTCTCGCCAACAGACATAGACGCGCCTCATGTGAAGTCCCAGAGAGAAGAGCTCAATGAACAGAATAGAAAACCTGTACGACTCTCAAGTTCTCATCTACTTCTCATAAAATGAGTCATTTACTGAGCCCTGGGCCAGGATGGCAGAGGGAAGGTGACTGAGGAGCAACATCACAAGGTGAAAAGTTCACAGCAGCACACAGGGATATGCAGAGAGAAGGGGAAAAATAAATGGCATTCCCTTTTCTTTGATGTGAGAGAAAATAGAGAAAATACAGAGGTGAGGAGAGAAAGTGAGACCGAGCGGGTGGGGGGAGCGGGAGAGACAACAGCGTGTATCAGTGGAAGAGAAGCTAGAGGAGATAGAGCTATCAGAGCTTCAACATGGCAGGATGTGACATTTGGAGAGCAGGAAGAGGAAACTGGACAGATATAGATTAGTTTGGTGGCTGCTCCTGAAAACATGTCTATCCCATTAGAGGGTTTGGGTCGCAGTTAATGTGCTTATCAAAGTATGCACCTCGGGTGTACTCCTGAACCCGGCGTGATGCTGCTGCACGACACACAGGAAGAGAAGACTCAGTCCAGATTTTGACATTTGACTTTCTGATCAGTGGGTTTTCTTTTACTTCATGCTTTTTTTTTTTCAAGTTTGTAGAGTTAACATCTTCTCCAGAGTTGATGGGAATAGAGGTCCCACCCTGGGGTCAAATTCCAAATCTAATCAGACTTGAAGTAGGTCATTAATTAGTCAGACTTTGCTGCAGCTCGGCTAATTTCGCCACGTGAGAAATAAAGAAGTGGAGTTCAACAATGAGTCTCATTGAATTAACAGGAAACAATGGAAACTGTTGGTGAGAACAAGAGTCTTTTTCATCAAAAGCACTGCACATGAATATAAGCCCATCTTTATTTACTCTGTGCCGAGCTACGTGCCAATACTTCAGTGTAATGATCACCAAATATGAGGAAGTTTAGGAGCTGTTTACAGAAAATATCAAGCGAATTTCAAGCTGCAACATTTAAAATTTCTTTAACTCGCTTCACTAGTAGTGAAATTACATTTTTATGGACATAACCGCCAATAAAAACACATTACTACCTTCTTATCGGAGACTATTATAACTGTTACAGTCTGTGCTGCAGAAACTTTAACTTTTATAAGTATGTGCAAGCAACCAACAAAGAACGAAAACCATCATGATTGGTCTAAAAGATTAAAAAACAAAAATGATTCCTAAAAAAAAATCACCTAAAAGTAAAACATAAAACCAAAATAATTGAGCAAATAATGAGATTTTAGCTTGTTCTAACTTTTCCTTTGCTTGGGTTTATAATTAAGAACTAATATAGCGTCAAACAGAAGACACGCCTACAAGTGCGACTTAAGCACAGTAATAAAACAAACAAGCAAATGAACAAGGAGCAATATCCACAAAACAAAATCACCCACATGCTTACTTTTCCCCTTCATTACACTTATTGGCACATATTTGAATAAATTGACCAGCTTGTTAGGGTCAGGGTGTTAAGTGAGGCCTCTGACTCTGTAACTTACTTTTTCTACACCTTTTCAAATCTTTCCTCAGACCCTTTGGTGTTATGCTCTCACATACCAGTATCATGGGTGTGTCGGTGCATCTGTTAGGACAGAGCCACCCGATCAAATACTTGGAGTCGTAACTGTGTGGTATTTAAAAAACTTCGGCACTGCCTTCATTATTAGGGAAACAAAACGCTGTCCGGTCTGGTTTAATGTGACCCGTCCCTGAGCAGTAGTCACCAGCCAAACTAAGGCAGAAGTTCAGTTTGATGCAAGATTCCTTGGATTGTTTTTTCTGGTGATGCTGGCATATTTTCAAACACGAGTACAAAACACAGATAAAAAAGGGCGGTGGTTCTGATTGCTGTCACACGCGTGAATAATGCGTAAAGCGCGCTCCGGGCCACTCGCTGTGCTAGTTTGTGTACATGTTGTTGGCAACTTACCCTCCGACAGCTCCAGTTCCAGCTCCGCCAGCTTCTCCCGGACCTCAGCAGGCAGGGTCATAGCGAGAGCCGGCGTGGGCTCTAACATCATCGTCAGCAGCCCGGTGGAGCTCCTCTCAGCCATGGTGGTCCAGCACGAAGGGCGAACGGATCCACTGGTGCCCGGTGAGGAGAGGACAATGCGACCAAGCCCAGAAGATTATCAATGAAACAACAACAGCCCCTCCTCACCTCACTTGGTTCAGGCTCAGAGCAAATAGGGTGTTGGTGCCTCCTCTCCCGTGTGGCTGCAACGTCGCACAGATGTGTGAGAAATGTCTCCAAACGTCATGACACGGCTAGCTGCGGGGCTAGCAGACACACCTGGATCCGTGTTTCCATGTAGGGTGTTGGGACAGGGCCTTGCCAGCGTCTCGCAGCCTCTATTCTGTCCCTCCTCGGCACTGTCGGCTGCCTGTCCTCAACTGTGGAGGGAACTCATTCAACTCCTCGCTCGCTTCCCACGGCGCAGTCGCCATTGCATCATAGCAACAGCAGCCCCAACCGTGCGCGTTCACGAGGCCCCCACTCGTGCGCTTGCACGGTGCATGTTTGTGCGCCGCCCGCTCCTCCGCGTACAGCTCGCCTGCCTCCTGCTGTCACCCAGCGGTTTCGTGGCACACATTATGACCTTTAATGGATTTATTTTGTACTGTGTTTCATTTCCGTACGTTGTCTTTCTTTTCATGCATTAAAAAAGCAAACAAAAAAACAGCTAATTTTGATAAAGCTTTGTGAAGAGGTGGAACACGCACTGAAGGGAGCTGAAGTTTTGATTTAAGTGTCTGCGCTTAAAGATTAAAGTTCAAGCGCTGAAAGAAATGTAAATGTTACACTTAGAAATGCACTGAGCTAAAAGTGGAAGCTGGAGTGGAATTCTTGAAATAAATTACTGGCGGTTCAAGCAGGCTTTCAGCTATAGAAGCATTATATTATAAGGCATATAAAGCATTATAGGGTAACCTATAGATAGATGTGGACATTTGATAAAACAAAACACACAGTATATTATTCGTCTGTGTATAACCAACTGACATTTTAGGCTCTAAAGGAAGCAGGAAGAAGTATAACCTTATATGATCTTATCTCTCCTTCTTTTTTTATGACAGCAACATTCCTCTCATTTTTAAATGGCCAGCCAATCGCTCCTATACGCATACAGGTGCATTCATGCCTGCACATTCATATGCATACAACAAAGATATACAGTTATACATATATACATATATTCACCTGTCCTATACATACCTGTACCACAGCCACAGACACCATTACACTCACAGACACACCTGCCTGAACTACATAATCTGTGTTCCAGTGTTTTATATTTATACTACAACATTTATGTATGTAGTCTTTCTCTCTGTGTGCATATATGTGCATTTACCTTCAAATACCTCTGTACATTCACATATAGACATTCAAAGTATATTTAATAATTTTTTAAAAAATAGTTTGTTAAACTAGAAAATATTTCATCATTGCTTCATAGCGTTTTTCATACTATTCCAGTAAACAAAGTTCATATGGCAGCACTCAAGGCTGGAAGCCTGGAGAGGTCAGCATCATCAAACCTAGTCCTGCTTCCAGAGCTTCACTTCCTACTGCTGTACTTCACCTTTAAAGAACCACGCCATATTTCACTACATTTATGTATACTTTCATTTTTTACATGTAGCATAACTGATATTGGAAGACAGAATCTGCAGGGTGCAGCTGCACATGGTTTGTGATTTTCTTGCAGTAGTGCCTGTCAACGCTACTGAGACCAGTGGATCCAACTTTGATGCTCCCAGCAGGTTTCTAAAGTGGACAGTACCACAGTGTCTGTGAGAAAGAGGTCAACATATGTCACAAAGAGAGAAATAATTACGTGTTAATTTCACATTGATGGCAATTGTGCGCAGAATTTTTAAAAAGCGTAATGAGGGGTCTTTGAGGTTGGATTTGTAGACTATTTGTTTTATTTGCAAAACTCTTTGTTCAAAGTGGAGGCATGGGCATTTACATTTACATAACATGTGATGTCATTGCTTTTCTGTGATTCCAGAGTTTCTTGGGAAATAAAATACTACATGGCCTCGGTGAGTTGCACTTCTAAAAGGTCAAGTGATTCTCAAATCTAACCATTGTATCAGTCATTATTTTAATTTTTCTTTTAACCTTGTTGTAATACAACATGTCATAATATGATAGAAAATGTTAAAAATAAAAGTAAAAAACACATATAGACTATGCAAACATATTTTTTCAGATGCAATAGTAAATACAACACAACTAACTTCTATTAAAGGCAAAAAATAGCTTATGGATGTTAAATTTAACATTTCAATTCATACAAAAATCTTTGTATGAAATGTTAAATTTTGTATCAACTATGTTAGCATCCTTCCAATTACACTGTAGCACACTAACATAGATACATATTTTAAAACAAACAAAAAACTGTAATGTGCTTACATGGTGACAAAAACAAACTACAGTAGTGGGTTAAATTACAAAATTATAACATGAATTAGAGGGAATGTCTATTTACATATACATAAATATATATAAGTACTTTAAAAAAAAAGCATGATAGTGTTTCCTTCATTAAGAGAAATTTTCAAGGTTTCTGCATACATTTTAAAAATAATAATTTAAAGCACAAATTAGCTCAGATTGTTTTCAACAAGACAAAAAAAATGTTACAAATGCACAAATGTACAGCGTGGAGTATAAATAAATATTGCAAGTCATCTTTAAGATTTAAGCCTACTTTTTTTTGCTTTCCCCAATGCACTGTAACTTTCATCACAGTCCAGATGACTGGGCGTCCTGTTTGGTAAACCTTTACGTTTTAAAATGTCGCTGCCTGTGGAGTTAAGGCTGGAAACTGTTGTAGTTGATTTATCTGCTAAAATTATAAATCTGTTGAAACACAACATATATTATTAAACATGCAAGTTAATAATAACAATAAATACACATTTAAAGTTTTCAGTTTTTACCTCCAACTATAACATGTCGTGACTAAATATGACCATTAGGTGTCACTATATACGCAATAAAAACGTTCTTCTTGAGCAAGTTCTGAGCTGCATCAATACTTGTGTGTCCGACACTGTCAGCCGTAGTATACAACTGGAAGGGCAACAAACTTGATTGAGGGCCATGTGACTCATTGGTACATAAAAAAATGAAATAAAACAAAGTGAAAAACAGAAATAAAAAGACAGAGAAGCCTTCATGCTGTCATTTATGTGCAATTGATCGTGTACTCAAAGCAAACTATGTCTGCTATGTTTGTGACGTTAATCCCCGATGAGCTCTGCAGTTAATGAGTCAACAGCGTGGTAGTGACTCTAACTCACTATATACCTCAGCCTGACTGCACTCTACGACTTTAGCCGATCTGCCGCTGCATGGCTTAGCTGCTTTGGTCCCTAAAAATTTCATTTCCAATCGTACCACTTACAGATGACTGTTGAATATCTAGGAGCCAAGAACTTTCACTGGCAGTGGTATCGTATTGCAGCACTGCACTTGGTGAGCTCTTTAGAATGGCCCATTTTTTCACAAATGTTAAGGCAGACTTCACGGCTAGGTGCATGATTATGGAGACCCGGGGCATTGGGATGGAGACACCTGCGTTCAAAGATTAAGAAGTCCACAAGTATAGCTTAGCTGCGCAAGCTGATGAATGTCCTATTTTTTTATCACAAGGAAGCAGGACCTGAACAGGTGCCTCCGCTCCAAAGTCGGTGGCCTCCTCAGTGCTGCAAAAGCACTAAGTTACTGCTAAGAAAATAATTAACTTGAGTTTGAGCTGCCTTAACTAATTATCAGTGTGGCTGTTTAACTTTTTCATCCCCACACTAACTGAATTTAACATATAGTTACATAAGGGTATCAGCACAATTCAGCTGAGGAGGCACATTGACTCTAAGGCCTATCTGTAACACCAGTACTGGTGCTAGATACTTCACGGTGTTTAGCAAATGAATAGTAAATAAATTCTTTATTGTAAGTACAGATCTCTCCTCAGGGTGTGTTTTACATCAAGGTGGTAGCTGGCTTGAGGATTAATTCTGCTGTGTTCAAAGACGACGTTGTTCACCTCCATTTGAATATCATCAATCTTAATTTTCCTGTAAGAGCACAAACAAAGAACAGTTTAGCTTATAAGAAACTTATAAGAAAACTTCCATGATGATGGGGTAAAGTTAAATAGTGTTTATACCTGTTTTGGGCTTTGATTAAAGCATTTGTCAGAGCCTTCACATACACAGAGCTATGTTCCTCTTCTTCCAGCTGACACTCATCTGTCCAGCAGTGACTCCAGAACACATCTGCATCCATAGGAATAGCTGCTGTGACAGCCCCATCACAGCCATCTGTCTCGAGGTGCCCATCGTCCGGGTTCATCCTGGGGCGCAGGGACAACTTAGGTACGTTGTATCTCTGGATGAAGAAAAGTTTGGGCTTTCCCGCCAACAACGGGCATCTGTTAGCATTGAAAAGACGCCTGACTTCGTTGGTAGAAAATCCATTGCCAGTCGAATCTGTGCCCCAAAGTTGACTTTCTGTGCCACGGCTAATGATGCAGCACACGAAGCTATCATTTCTGAGTTTCTCCATCTTATCGAGAATATTTTCGAGAGCTGAAAACACCTCATCAGAACTCAGATACTGGTAGAGATCCACGCTGAAGTGAAGTGCCTTAAATGTTTGTTCCAATTTTTCTGAAGGAGTGAGCAAAGATGAAATGAGAATTTAAGCATCACCTTGACAATAATCTAAAAAGACAAATGTAGCTTTACATTTTTAAAACACAGATCAGTGGCAACCAAAACTACTGAAAGGGTAAGTGAACATTTATGATCTTAATACAATGATTGAAATGCACATTTTAACAGCAAAAACTTGCAACATGCAAACAGTACCTTTACCCCTGTCACGCAGTTATATGCAGCTGTAAGGTACTTTTAATTAAATTTGAGCTACTGTGCTACACTGTTTGTTTTTGAATTACACTATATTTATGTTTCAGCTGTAGTTACAACAGACTTTTTATAATTATACTGCTATAATAAAACACACACGTTAAGCTTATAAAATACAACACATTGCTCTTTCTTTCAGAAGCTCACAGCCTTTGAATTCCCCCTGCCTTCTAAAATAGCTACATTTTGACAACTGTTAATAAACCACAAATAAGTAAAATGAGCTTCCTTTTTCACGAAAGCTGCAGATGTAAAAGAAATTCCCAAGGAAATACAAATCTGAGTAGCACAATAGTTTTCTTGTTCTTCTCCCATTAAGATTTTTTCTAGGATGGGGCTGGTCCCTCGTTTGGAAACTACCCAATAATACATCGAATACAGATAAGCGTATAACTGTAGGTTTATCTAGCGTACACAATGATGCATCAGCTTTAAAACCTACTACAGCATCTGGTGATCATCCTTTTATTTTTCTCCCCCAGCAGGATAATAAATGCACGACTAT